TATTATTTTATATCTATATATTATTCATTTATATTTCTTAAATTGAAAAAAAGAAATCTTTTGGTTCTCTAGCCTTTAGTCATTTAGAATAGTGTAGCATGCTACTTAGGGCACTACTGAAGTCTTCAAGCATTTCAGATTTCCTTTTATGTTTTACCATCTCGCATCTTAGATATTCGCCATATCTTCCATTAGACAGATATGATTTTATTAGTTGGTTATCTATATTATTGAGACTTCATTTTAATGAAATAAAAAGTTACGGTGGTTAAAGCGAAATAAACGTTTATTATCAAATGCTATAATCTGTAAACAGGATAGTTGATAGTAATTGATGATCTTCCCTAAGAGCCTATATAATAAAACTCAGTTATTCCAAGRCAAAGGCCTTAGCAGAAATTTTCTATTAATTTAGCGCACATTGGAATATAATTTTCATATAGTTTCTGCCAAAATAACAGAGCTTAAAGCTTCTCCTCTTGGAGGCCGTGCTTAAAAAACATGAGAACTGGAACGATTTCGCCATCCACTTGGCGATATTCGCACATGGCGACCATGCCATCGATGTCCATTGATTCGCCAGTGAAGAACTGCAGTTCCCTGAATCGCCCGAGAATGTCCTTCATCGCTTTGTTCATGTTGGTCTTCAGGACATCGACTTCTGCCGGAGCAGTCTGCTGCAGATGCTCGAGCACCTTTTTCATGTAGTCCTTGAGGTAGAGCGTGAAGGACTTCTTGTCGGTAAAGGCAAACGACTCCTGCAGTCGATGATTCAATACCACGTCGACGCCGCTTTCGACAGACGCATCGGCGCCCTCGTCCTCCTCCTCAGCCGATGGATTGGCACCGGCCAGCACGATGTTGTCCTGATTGCGTGTAACCAAACTGCCAAATACTTCATAGATAACATCATCGGCCAAATTCATTTTATACGTATCTGTGAACATCTCGTCCCCAGTGAAGATATCCTTGTACACTTTCATTCTGAATGTCCTTGAAGCGTGCGTTACAGGAAGCTGTCAATAAAGCGGACACCAAATRTATAAACTATAGATAAGAGAGTTTTGAGAATTTTCTGTGCATGCTACTTAAAAAATACGTATTGTTCTTCTGACATAAAACAAAATGTTCTGAGCTGAAACAGAAAAATGTAAACAAATTAGATCTCCATAGGAAGGGGAGCAGAGTATTCAGATGTGTTCACAAAAATAGCAGAGCGACTGAAGACTTTGTTAAAATTTATTTAATGAGCACAATATTTTGAAAACAATATGAAAGGAATATTGATTTATACTTAGGAATAGATTAACTTAATTAATTTACTAATTTACTTATTTATAAAAATAGTAATAGCTACTTTTAAAGTTGAATAATGATTAACGAAGCAGTAGGAAAGAGAGATACATGAATGAAACATTTGCTATAAGAATTATTAATGAAAAACGAACTATGTAAAATTAGTCTAAGTTCAAATATTAGGTATTACACATAGTTCTCAATGTAACGTGGCATGGATGAATCTCTGGCATCTCTTCAGAGGTATTTGATGCCGATTTGAACAACAGACTCGATGGCAATGCAGTAGCCACATTTCTCTTGACAACGTCCTATAGGAATTCGATTAGCTGCCGATCTGTTTATTAACTGAGCTAACATGATCATGAAATATATATATATTGATTTGACTTTACCTTGATGTTGGCGTAGGTTCGATTAGCTCTCACTCTCTCACCACCCCTTCTTTCTCTCTCACTTCTGATTTGCAATTCTTTGCTCATTTGCACAATGTAGCAGAATTTGACTTACTCTGTATCACTACTGTAATATTTGTTGGGTTTGTATCTTGCAGATATTAACAAACTGCTGCTGAACCGGAAGTTCTCGCAGCGTAAGGTGGGGCAGCAGCAAGTGACGCAGCAGCAGTTCCAGTTAACGAAGCAGCAGCTGCAGCAGCTGGTGCAGCAAGAGGATGAGCTGGTGGCTAGCGGAGCTGGCGAGCAGCTGACATTGCAGGACGGCAGCGATCCACTGCAGCAGCAACAGCAGCAACATCTGCAGCAGCAGCAACAACAACAGCAACATCAGAACCTACAGAAATTCAGCAAGGTGATCAAAATGTCGCCGTTCCCGCTGATTGTGTCGGACCTCAATCTGCAGCAGCAAACGAATCAGCAGCAGCAGCAGCAGAAGCCCAATTCAGCAGCGGCCATTGCGGCGAATCACAACTACAGCCTGCAGCCGGCCACAGCCATAATCACCTCCCAGGCAGGACCGCAGCAGGCCAACAAAATCTTCCTAACCAGCAATAGCAGCGGTGGCAGCGGCGGCAATTTCATCGCCACGGCCAGCGAGCTGCAGGCGGCGGTGGCTGCCAGCAACGCGGGCCAGCAGAAGCTCCACTACAAGGAGCTGCCCAATGCCAATGTCAAGCTGAATTTTGTGAGCACCGCCACAACGGGCAATGCGGCCGACGCACTGGTGACCCAGGCGTCGCAGCAGCTGGGCGCCACCACAGTGGTGCTGAATAAGACAGGCTCACCGCTGCCCACCGCCATTCAGCAGCAGCAGTTGCAGCAGCACCAGAAGCTCAAGACGGGCGGGACGCAGGTGCAGGTGCCGGTCTCGGCTGGGGATAAGCGCGTGCTCTACACGAGCCTGCTGAATGTGAAGCCGTTGCAGAAGAACAACAGCGGCCAGATGCAGATGCAGCTCGGTGCCGCCGGACTGCAGCAGGTGTTGCGTGGACGGCTGAACAACTCGGCGATATTGACGCGAACCCTGCCGCTGGGCACCACGGTGAACAGCACGGGCGGCGGCGGTGGCGGTGGCAGCGGAGGAGGAGGTGGCGTTGGAGGCACTCCGACCACCATACGCCAGCTGGTCAGCAGCAATGTCACGAACAATGTGGGAGCAGCAGCAGCAGYGGCAGCGGATACCATTGGCAAGGAGGTGGGCAAGGTGCATGTGACTGTGGAGCAGGTGATTGCCAGTGCCAACAATGGCGGCGTTGTGTTGCCTACCACCACCAATAATAACAACAACAATAACAACAACAACAGTAATAGTAACAACAACAACACTGCAAATAGCAGCAGCAATAACAACAACAATGGCAGCGGCACAGGCGGAGGCGGCATGAATGCAACAACGAGCAATGTGAACGCAACTCCGACGATAAACAGATGAGACGCGGACGGCAGCTAACATCCAATGACACGTGGAGGCTGTTGCACGCTTAATCTGCCCAGCGGCACCTCGCTCAGCCTGGCGCCATCGGCAGCGGCACCGCGGTCCAGTCCGCTGATGGTGGCCCTGGGTCAGTTGCTGCAGCCGGCGCAGTGCTGCTGTGCCCTCTGCCTGGTGAAGCTGGGCAAGCAGACGTCTGCTTAGAGGAGCAGCGGCTGCTGGTGTTGCTGCTGCTGCAATTACTATATATTACTATATATATATATATACATAGATATTGCATATATCAAGCAGAAACCTACAAATATTCAATGTGAATTATTGCAAATTGTGAGACCCTCCGCCAGCCCCCAAGAGTGGATAATTGTAAAATAAATTGGAAATGGATTGGTATCGGTTCGGATCGTAGGAGGGATCTCAGTGGAGAGAGTGGAGAGTGGAAAGTGGAGTGGAGTGGGGCTGGGCGTTATGATTTATGTAACTCTTATGATTATTATGTAATATGTAACTTGTTTTCGGATAGTTGCTTGCACTTGCATACATACAAAACTAAACTAAACGAAACGAAATGAAACGAAGAGATGAAGTGTGTAAAGGTCGATAATTGAGAAGCCACCAATAACAAAAGTTCGCTTAATTTTAGATATGTGTGTAACGATTCAGGTCTTATTTTCAAGATCGCCTAACCCTAAAGCCTAAATATTAGCATATATGTATAAATACATACATATATATA